ATATTGAGATATAGGTAGTAAACATTTGAGGTAGTAATGTTTTTTTTTAAGTTCATCATGCGTATTTCCGTTACATGTAAGAAAGAACAACAGTGACACAATTATACGGGAAGTCGTGACCCTATAGTTTGGTAATAAGCAGATCGGCAGAGAATACTAAAGAAGACTAATGATTTGGTATGCATTGGACAGCATTTTAAGTAAACTTTCAAATGTAATTAGCCTGGTTCGTCCAGTTTTACCGAACTTCGAACTGTTGGCGTTGGAAATAGTACTAATTTTGGGTTAAAACCTTGAATATCTTAAGAAATATTGAAGATAGGAACTTGCTTTTCAAGACAGAATGGCGTATTTAAAAAAAAAAAAAACAAACATTTGTGTAGAAAATACTAATGTCAAAAAAAATATTTACAAAGCATTGATTTTCTGCGGGCTCTAACCAAAAAAAACTACAATAGACAGCCCAATGGCGTTGTACGAATAGTTGACGTAGGACTACGCTCACATATGTTAACTATTTTGATCGAACGTTATTTAAAATTCCGATATTATTATGAAACCCGTTGATTTCTTCCGAAGTGTAATCATTGATAAGTGTAAATTTTCCGTTTATTACTAATAAGATTCATTTTCAGTTCATGTGTAATTATTCTTGTGTTAGAAAATATTTCAAACTAACTCTTTCTTTCAAAATTGTGGTCGCCCTGAAAAGGGCCGTTTCGATGGTTTGTGGCTCTGAAAAGAGCTGGTTTGATGTGGAAATAGTTCAAGATCTCCGTAATGACTATAGCAACCATTATACAATATTTTAACGATCATTTGGCCATGATCGACATAGTAACTTGAGCATTGTGTGTCCGGTGTATGAGCTCTTATTATGATATACGATTGAATTCACGACTCCAAAACACTGTAAAATTACATTAACGGCTCCATGTAATTGTGTTGCTCAAGTCTTTTAATTTTGTTACAAATTTAGGTAATATAAAAATCTACACATGTTCGTCACTGACAGCAAACCATGTCAGCCTTGACTATGACTGCTAGCTCAAATGAGTGACCAAAGCAGAATTGTCAAAATTACCGAGTATTGTCGAGATTTGCAGCACTGGTGGTATCTTCTATCCAACACAATGTCTCGACTGTCCTCCATCCAACTGAGCTGATTTTATTGTATGTGATTGGGTCAACCATAAACTTGTCACCTTCAAAAAATCAGCCCAATTGGCTAGAAAACAGCAGAGAAATTTCGGTAGATGGACGGCACCTCTCACCGGGCTTTTCGGGGGATTCTTATAATGGTTCATTATTGTGCGCGATCATCATACATCTCTATAAATTCAATCAGGCAGATCGACTTTTCGTTCGGCTTCGGCTTGTTTCATTCTTCTGAGGATGTTCTTCGGCATGACGATGACGCGCTTGATGAAGATGGCCCACAGTGGATTTTCTGACGATGAGCAACTGTACCCGAACAGTGGCGGTATGGCTTCTTCACTACTTTTCTGGTTAGATCAGGCAGCCTTGTTAGGAAGCTGCTTGCGGGAAGTTTGTCAAGCGGTTCACATGTCGTGTGTTGGGCGATCGATATGAACACGTCCGAAGTTCCAAAGGAAATTCGGCTTCGGCTTGTTTATTTTGGGACCAACTATGTGATGGCTGTGTTAGGAAAGACACCTTGTGGTCTAAGCATATTTATGGGAAATTTTGATGCTGCCCATTTTAGGTTAATTTCTTAGCCTTTTAACTATGTTCATTATTTGTACTATATGTCACAAAATTGCTGAATGAAGCCTCCGTCGAATGGCATATTGCATGACATATTTCACATTAATGTTTTGGAGAAATATGCGTTCACATTCTTTCATAATTTCGTTACATGTTCCATTTTCAGTGTCCACAAAGTGTACCCCCATATAGAAATCACAGACGTAGTCCTACGTCAAAATTACATTTATCTGTAAACGTAAGAGATAGTGGGTTGACGTTTTGAGCAAAAATGTTTGATTTAATATTGTATAAAACTTTGCTGAAGACACCATTTTGTTATCTCGACAAACATTTTTTGTTTGTGAAACTTTTCATCTCTCTCCTAAGTAGATTAATTATTGAATGACTAAGCCCATAATAAGGGGCTTTTAAAGTACACATACTTCTCCGGACCGTTTTTTCATAAACTAAAAGACACACGTTTTGGCACTTTTAGACCTCTGTGAGATGGCTCGATGTTGGAAAAAAAATGGCCGCTGGGGTTGACCAGTTTAGTGTGCGGCAGATGATGGCGGGAATTCCAAAGAAAGTCTGTAATTTTATTTTTAAATCACTGATAAATTCTATCAGAAAAAGAATTCCAGTTAGGTACGCTAGTCTTGACTTTTCAGAAAGTGTTCCAAAAATGTCCAAGAATATTTTCTGAAAGATATCGATGTAATATAATTTTTGAAAATAATATTAATTTTTATTTAAATCACTGGTAAGTTCTAACAGAAAGTATATTTCATTAACGCTGGTCATGACTGATCAGAAAGTGTTCAAGGGATATCTTATGGTGGAGTTTACCAAACAGCACCATGCGTCTCCATAATTATTTACGATTTTGATCGTTTTTGATCGCATTTAGTATATTTTTAAGGGATTCAAATAAAAAAACTGATTTTGGTCCTCAAATTGGCTAGAATGCAACTATATGCTAGAATGCACAGTATAAAGTTTTTTAAATAAAATATGGCTAAAATTTTTCGAGGAATCCAATTCCGTGGTCAAAATTCATATATTAAATTTCGGATTAAAAAGTTTAGTAGAGGGTTATTATGTAATCATTAGATGTTATAAAGCTAATTAGTACTTGTAAGTTACAAGAAGAGATTGTAAAGTATGTGTCAAATACATACCTAGTCTTTTAGTTTACAAGTACAAAATAGCATATGTCCAATGATTCCATAATTTCAAAAATCATGTTTAAGCATTAAAGCGAAAATAAGATGTACATTAAAAATAAATTACAGATTCGCAAAGTACGTATTTGGTATATCACTTTTCCGTAGAAATCTGGTCGATCCACGGGGTCTTTCCCGAAATCGTATGTCGTATGGGTTTTCCGGGAAGCTTTGAGGTACGTCCAAAATCCTTGAAGGTACGCTATGGTACGCTATTGGTACATTCCAAAACACGTATCAACTTTGAAATTCGTTAAGTTTGTCCCGCTGGATAGATTGACGTATGTTCTAGACTAGAAGAAACCATGTCGAGAATTTATATTATATCGACATTTAACCGACGTCTTCAGGCTCAACAAATTGACCAAGGGTTCGGGATTTTTCTTAAGCCTCAGGGAACTTCGTAAAACTTCAAGGACTTCTAAGAAAATCAACGAAAATCGTAAAAATTAACGAAAGTAGAAATTCTGGGAATTTCATAAAATTTCAGAAAAATTAGTAGAAACACAGGGAGCTTCGGAAAAGTTCAGAAAACTGCGTAGAAGTGGGAACTCTATTTAAGCGTTGGGATCTGCGTAAAAGTTAAATAATATTTAAATTCAAAGAACCTCATTATTGTTCGGCGATCTTCATATAATTACAGGACACCTTTTTGAAGCCTCATGAGCCTGGAATAGTTCAGGAAATTACGTACAAGTTCAAGAAATTTTACACGTGGAACTTCGCGGAAAATCAACGAGAATCGTAAAAGTGCAGAAAACGTTGTAGAAGTTTTGCGAATTTCGTAGCATTTTGAGGAGCTGCATTAAACTTCAGGGAATTTTGTAGAAGGTCTAAAAATAGTTCAGCAAATTTCTAAGTTGTTTTTCGTACTGAGAACCAATGCTACCGACACCTGGGAGGCAGCTACCACACCTGGACCCTACCTTTCGACCCATCAACTCATGGACCGGGGAGCAACGGATTTACTTTCGTGATCAGAGATTTTATGCCTCAGAAAATCTCGGCGGCGCCGACTGGGATTGAACCCAGGTCCTTTGGGGTGAGTCGGTAATAATTTCTTAGTGTGTACCTAACATGAAAAAGATATAAACTTTCAAACCTCAATTCTCAAAGCCACAAAGGACTCCGAACTTCCCATAGAATTTCCTGACTAACACTTGTTTACTCGTCCCATCAACATGATTTATAAACAAACCTTTCCAACACTGTAATAAACCAATCCTACCATCCTTATATCCATACCATCCGCCAAGAGTCATCAAATCAAGATGATCCAAATCCCAAAACAAACATAAATAACATGAACACAATACCCAGCAGTCACTCGTTCGTCGTCGATGGTCATTGGATATGGCTATCTCCGGACACTTCATCTTCTCCGCTTCGCTCAATCCAATATTCATGCCCAAAATTCCGGAGAATTCCATCATCTTAGCACTCCACAAAACACCAAACGGTGATGCTTTTCTCATTATCACCAATATCTTCGCCCCACCATCTTCGTCACTGCGCTACTTGAAACGGACAAAACAGTCCAATACGGGGTTACATCCTCTTATCAGAAGCTTATTTGCCCAGCTTATTATCAGTGTTTAATTAGCCCCGTTTTTCCTCTCTGCCACTGATTCACCAAACATTTTAGCAAAACATCTTCTTCTCACGTGTCAGGTGCAACACAGACGCATATTAACTCCATCTCCCTACTTAGGCGTATGAACTACAATGATGTTGACTAATCTCGCACACCACATCCGTTTCACGTTCACAATTGCCGCGATAAAATTCCTAAAGTCGAAAACAGCACACCTCCACTTCCTCACTAGCTGATTATTCCCTGTTTATTTTGCGTCGATTTCCCAATGAGCCCATAAAAGTGATAAAATGCTTCCACCGACTCTTGCCAAAAACAAATTTCACACACGACAGACGCCCGCGGAATTCGCTCTGTACACAAACACTGGCTGCGGGGGAAACATATCTACCCTCTTTCAATTGCTTGCATTGGAAGCCTTCTCGAGGAGTGGAAAAAAAATAAACAACACACTGAATGGGAAGACCAACCAAGATAAAACCCCTCTTCACCAAACTGATACAAACGAACTTTTGCCACCCTTAACTGGCAAATGCTCGACGAGCACTGAATCCAGAAGTATTTTGTTGGCAGCGTATTCTATCTATTCTATCTAGCCAGCCCTTGTCGACAGTCGACACTCACTTCGCTGCTCTCTATCCAGATTCACGCTCCCCAATCACCCAATCGCCGCAGTAGTGGAGTGGGCTGGCTGGATCTAGATGGATGGATCACCGACAAACAGACGAAGCGCTGTAAACTAATTTTCCCTAAAGGTTTCGTTCGGAACTCACCAATGTCGAACTATTCTCAAACATTGTTGCATACAAGTCCTATAGAATGTAAATGTCAAAGTGATCTGATGGGGGGGGGGATTTGCGGAAGTAATCATATTTTAAATTGTAAGTTAAATGTGCGCACGACGATTGAGGAGAAAGAGCTACGTCTGTTTGTCTGTGGATGGATGTTGGAACTGATGCAAAACTCTCATGCTCTCTGTTCACTCTGTTTTTTTTTTTGGTTTTTGCGCGCGCTCTACCCGCCCGCAGATGCAACGTGTTTGTTATCAACGGAAAACGATAATCGCCAATCATTGGCGACGGGTGAGTGCCTCTCTCCGAGTAAGTAGTGTTACTCGCCGTCGCGAGCCCAAGAGAGTTGAGTGGTAAGGATATAGCATAAGTTTCAGTTGAGAAAGAGATGAAGAGCTGGGTCCGGGCTGGAAGTGATATTCTGCGTCGGTCGATCGAGCGGAGGAAAAGGAAATGCGGTTTGTTGATGTTTGCGAGGGGTCTTTCTATGAGTAGCGCTTCTAACCCACTGAAGTTATAGGGTTTTAAACCGCTTAAAGGAAAATTATGTGCAATTCAGCACTGGAACTTTAATTCACTGGTTTGTGATCTTTGAATATTTCCATCCTGATTTCTACAATTGTTAATTGAGAGCTTTCTAATGTTAAGACTGATTCCCTTTACACATGGTCATATTTTACAACTACAACTTCATATTTTCGACACTTGAGATAGAGCTGCAATAAGGGCCTAACAGCTTTTGTAAGCAATGAGATGCCTACCCGATGGTTGGTTTGCGTGGGCGGTGGACTGATGAAAAATTTGAAATTTCCGTAAGCACTGCTCAAACGGTTCCAACTCGGGTCCTGATTAACCTCCCAAAATTTAAACTCATTTCATTGGAAACCAACTTGGCACAAACCATTTGAAGTTTATATGGAAATGACTATAGAAAAACTTGTTGTTCATTGTATTCTTGCCTTTTTCAATATTGCATTGTTAAAAAGTTCTATAGCTAGAAACACCAAAGTTGCCTGCTGAACAGTTGATTGAGCATAATCATAAGGCATTACTGACTTGAATCATTAATAACTTTTGTTCCTTACATTTAATCGAAAAGTGGTCTTGAACAATTTGGTAACTGAGAAAATTTCTTTCAAGGACACCTATCATTTTTAAAATCTGAGTGATGTGGTGAATTTTGAGATAGATATGAACTATCTTCCTAGGTTTTACCATAGTTATGACAAGTCAGTTTCTTGGAGTTCAAGTTTTTTTGGGAGGTTAATCAGGACCCAATTTGGAACCGTTTGAGCACCGTGGAGCAAAAATTTCAAAATTTGCATCAGTCTAGTGGGCATGTTTTGAATTCTTAGAAATTATAGAGAGAAGTCATTGTTTACAAAAGCTGTTGGGCCCTGCTTTTAGCTCTATCTAGAATTATATCTTGAAGTACCTGTACACCAGGGATGCCAGATTTGAACAGATTTGAAATTATTGTGGTAGACGGAAATATCTCAGTCATACAAAATTATGATCTTTATAACAAAAATTGATATGCATTAGTACGATACAAGAGGTAAAATATCAAGGAAAAATATCTTAAAATTGTTACTTCCATACAATCAAATCAATAACAAAGTACTTAAGTTTATGTTTTTGTTTGGTATGCAAATATCAGGATTTGTTTTCAAATTAGTATTCGCTATGCTATTTTTTGGTATTACTTCTTGGTATTGTACCTCTTATGCAATGCTTATCCATATTAACATTGATATCAATAGTAATTCTACGCGGGTATTTTGTTCTCGTAGACATTTTGAAGATATTTCATGTTATGTGCAGGTGTTTGAAGATATGTAAAAATTGAAGGCTTCAGAAGGTTAACCGGACATTCGAAAAAAATACTCTGACTTCATATTTTTAAGCCACTTCTTGATTTAATGCTGATTGCGACTAATGTTACCAAAATTGATTAACAACGCTAACGCTAACGCTAATTGCGACTAATGTTACCAAAATCAGTTATTTTTTACAGAATAATACTTGATCGATCTGATAAGCAGAAGACCTTTTGAATACTTTCTGATCAACCAGCCATCTTGGAGGAATATCTGGGCACCGTCATTTGAGCTTCTGAACAGTTGGAGATCTTCAGAATAATACACGATCAACCTGAATTATTGAAAAAAATATCCAGCGGACATTACTGATATCTTCAACCAGTTGGAGATATTCAGAATAGTGAACAACCTGAAACCTTTAAAAAATCCAGAAATCTACGATCGAATACCTCCTGGACAGTATCTGAGAAAGTCATTTGAATTTTTGAACAGTTGGAGATCTTCAGAACAAACTTCAGCTACCTGAGGTCTTGAAATAGCACATAAGACAACAATTGTAAAACGGTCTACACTGATTGACGACAAATAAATAAATAAATAAATAAAAAAATCGTTGAAAATATATTCAGGGAACATTATTGAAACCTTTATTCAACTGAAGATTTTTTAATACTTCCTGCCCAATATTGGGAGGATAACCTGAATACATGACGGGAAAATATCTGAAAAACGTCATTTAGATTTTTTGAACAGTTGACAATCTTCAGAACAATACTTGATCAATCTAAATCAATGAAATCTTGAATAAAATATACAGACTGAACTGAAATCTTCTATCAACTGGAGATATTTTAAATAACTGAGAGATGACATTTGATGTTTTGGTCAGTTTCAGGTCTTCAGAAAAATAATACAGTCTTGAAACATATCCTGAGGACTTCATTGATATCTTATCAAAAAAGTTCTGTCAAATTCTACGGTAATTCCTTAGCTTCTACGAAGATTCCTAAACTTCCACAAAGTTTCTTGAACAGAAACTCAAACGAAGCTCCCTAAACTTCTTTCCAATCCATTAAGTTTGCCGGCAGTGTTCAGCGGCCCTAGAAATTCTCCTAAACTTGTGAAGAGTTCCGGAAAAATGCTTCTAGAAAATGCTGTCAACTTCAATGAAACTCCCTGAGCTTTTAAGATTTTCCATATCTTATAAAAAAAATAGTATATATAATGTATAGAAAGCTTCTTCTAAGTTCCCTGAACTTGTACCAAACTCCACAAGTATAGATTCTGCTAAGAGCTTCAAACATCAATCAAATTCATAATTATTAATTCTACTAAGATCTTAAAACATCAATGAACCTTTGAACTAATGAAAAGGTTCTTGACCTTTTCTACGAATATTTCTGATCATCTGGGCAGTAACCTGGTTTTCAATACTTCCAGGTAGTGATCTTCCGGATTTTTTAAATGTGATAAGTTTAGCTGCAAATCAGTTCAGATATGTGGAAAATTGTATCCTAGTGTAAATTTTCAAAAGGAGCCACAAAATATGCGTCAATTTGAGTTGTAAAAATCGTCATTTTAATGTAAATAAGCTAGCCTTGCGCACTCTATACTGATTGTGCATCAAAAGAGCCTATAGTAAGGTAAAAATCTAGCTAATTATTAATAAACAAAAAGTAAATTTGTGTATTTTCTGGATAAAGCGCAGAGCAAGTGACGATTTTAAATAGGGCTGAATTTAGTTTTGCCCTTTAAAAATTTTGTGAATACAAAATAAAATTTGCATCAGCCTAAACTGATTGATGTGAGATGCTTTAAAACCCTAGTTTTAAACGGGATGTAAACTAGTCCTAGCTCCTCAAATTGGCTTATAAAACAAAAAACATTCTTCAGCAAATAAATCCCAATTTCAATGGCACAAAAAGTTCACCACTCTTTTAAAATTACGATCCGCAAACAAATCACTTCATAATGAGTAGGAGAGGAACAGCGACACATTTTTCGGTTTTTTTGCCTTGAATTTAATAAGTAAAATTACTACTAAAATGATAACATTTCCAGGCCAAATAGAAAAAAATCTAATTTCAAACTCGACATCCTTCGATTTGAATGAAAGTTTATATAATTATGATCAATCATTCAAATTTGAGTTAGAATTCGGCCATTTTGAATCTCACAAAAAAAAACTTCAAAATGATGTAGTCGTTATGCCCAACAAACATTGAAAACAGAATAAGAGCTAATTCAGGCAAGAATATGCTTATTCTGCTAAAAATATCTTATTCAGCCTTTAATCAGCTCAAATTGTTTGTTTGGTGATTTCAACAAATCAACAAATCAGTGCTTGCAGGTCATCCTCGAGCATCGTCCATGTCTCATACCCGTAGAGGACTACCGGTCTTATCAGCGTCTTATACATAGAACGCTTAGTGCGGAGTTGAAGTTTACCCGACCTTAGGGTCTTGTGGAGTCCGTAGTAGGCACGACTTCCGGCAATAATGCGTCTCCGAGTTTCTCTACTGCAGTTGTTATTTGATGTCACCAATGATCCGAGGTAAACAAATTCATCCACCACCTCGAACTCATCGCCTCCAATTAACAATTTGGGTTTTATGAAGGTTCTGTAGACCATGATTTGGACTTGTAGAATGCTTTAAAATCTTGAAAAAACTTACAATGTTACTTGGGCCGTCTATTGTGAGTGCCAATGCGAGTCCTATCATGCTCGGTTGCTCCAGCTAACAGACACTTTGTCTTCGACGTATTCACCTTTAATCCAACCTTTTCTGCTTCACGTTTCAGCCTGATATACTGGTCCGCCAAAGACTGAAATATTCTTCCGACAATGTCCACGTCGTCAGTGAAGCAGATGAACTGGCTGGACTTATCGAAGATCGTGCTCCGCATGTTAAACCT